ATGCAATTCGAATGTGGTTTATAAGATCAGTTGCAATAATTGTAATGCATCTTATGTAGGCCAAACAAAGAGGCAATTGCAGACGCGAAAAAGAACATAAAAATAATATTAGGTTGGACTCAACGAAACATTCAGTAATTTCTGAACACATAATAAATGAACATCATACTTTTAATTGGGACAATGTTAAGATCATGGACAACGAAAATAATTATTATAAAAGACTCATTTCTGAGATGCTACATATCAAGGAACAAAAAAATGGACTAAATTTAAACAAAGATACTGAGTTACTTAGCGAGTCGTATTTTGATATTTTGGATATATTAGCGAACAAGAAAATAATAGGACAAATAGGACATTAACGAGTAAAACATAGATATTAGATCATATATAAACACGCACGCTCTCCGATCAAGTAGAGTTTAAAATGAGCTGTCTTTCTGTATTGTTGGTTTGTTATGTGTCATCCTTAATAACTGTTAATAAGTAGCAAAATTATCAAGAAGAACGATGATAGGTAAGCATACTACCAATTGTAGGGGATACATATTATAATTTGGACATGCGTTGATCGGTAATTTTTTATAAATCGCAGCGCCTACGGAACGGGTTAATTTCTCGCATATTAACGATGAAACTATCCGAGATCTGAACAAAATCAGGGATCATATCGAGGCGAACATTGTTGGACAGGACGGATTGAAACACGCGTTAATTACTCAAAAACTCTTGATTCTGAATAACTATAATTAAATTTCGATATTATGTGAATTGTAAGAATTTATATTTCAATAATTATACTGAAGAAGACCGCGTGCGGTCGAAACGTTTATAGAATGATTGTAATTTGCGTTAGTTTTAATATAATGACTGTAGTTTTATAATTTATACATGTAATAAATGGTAGTTGACTGAACATCTCGAATATTCAGCTCGATAAGTTGGCCTTATATTTATCACTTGTTTTCAATATACGAGCGACAATTGTATTAATTTAATTTTAAATACATTTCATTGAATCATTACTTTTATTTATTATATACTCGTGAAGATAATGCTCCTTGTCTGGACACAATACATCATCACAAAGTCTCCGCAAAATATTTTATTACCTCAGGAAACAGAATGGATTCAGAAATTCTCGCAGTAATCCATCTTATTTTCTCTTATAAGGACGATAACGAGGTGCGCAATCGCATCGGTCCATTCATCTTATTATATTCGACTTTCATACTTTACAAATATTATATCAGTCAGATTTTATATTATAAACTACTATTTTGCTTGCGTGTTACTCTTTAATGATTTTTTATGGCTGATTTCCTGTTATAGCAAGTGGAACTGTTCTTATAAAAAATTCATCGATTGACCTAGTTGTGTTTAAACTGTTTCTTCCAATGCAAGCATATCTCGATATTTTTATATAGACACAGTTTCTGATTCTCTTGGGATATTTCATCGTCAACGTGATTTCTGTAAAACCGTGTTAAAAAAATTCAATATCTTAAACACTTTTGTTATGAAGGTTGAGTGATGCGTGAAATACATAGTTATGTAAATATAATAATATTGTTATTGTAATTGTGTGTGCGCGTGTTTATCACGTATATTTGAGATTAATTAAAAACTCGTTTTTTGCTATGTAATTTTTAGTTTATTATTTAGTTATCATAACTTTTAATTTATCAAGGGATCACATTTTTATATAACATTTTTAATCTTCTATATTTGTCGGATACAAATATGATAATTCAGAGTTTTAAAAAATGCAATACATATACGATATTTGTTTTAATAAATAACACATAATTTTTGTAAAAGCAGAGAGATTATAAAAATGATAATTATTTAAAATTATTCATTTTTATATTATTAGAATATTTTCTTTGAAAGACGTTGGATGTATTTTAGGAGATATATCTCTTAAAGCTACTTTATATACTGACGCGTGAAAAACGGTACTTTGCATTGCATGTGTGTGTATTGTTTCTAATGATTTATTAATAATAAGAACGTTTATGAAAAGTGCTTGACGACTGGAGATGTCTTGTAAAAAAAATAAAGGAAAGAAAATTTGCAGAAAAGTAACTAACACACTAAGATTTATAAATTATATAAACGCAAAGAATTACAATGCTTATGACATCTTATAATCTGATATTGCATTCGTTGCTGATGATTACTAGAGTTAAATAACGTGGTTGTTAGAATTAAGTGCTTGGGAATTTATTTTCTTTAAATTGCTTCTTAGTTCAAGTTGCCATTATTCAGTCACGCTGTGGAAGTGGAAACAGCGCTATAATTTACTTAATTCGACGAGCCAAAGCTAATCTATTTACTACACGGATCAATAATAACAATCAGTATATAGTGTTGATTATAAAAAATTATTTAAAAATTCAGAAAATAATCAGAAAAATTATAAAAAACGTAAAAAATAGCAATAAATTTGTTTATCAATTATTAGTTAAATCTGAAAACGTAATTTTGTCAATGCAAATATTGCATGTTTTTGATCATGCGATCATATTAGCATAGCATTTAAATATATCATGTAATTGGAAATATTTAATTAAACTTTTAATTTAAATTAATTCCAGGTTACACATTATAAATTTCATTGTATGCTGCAACGCGATTATAATTTGTTTTTTTTCAAGAGAAAAAGTATTTGAAATATTTAATACTATCAAAGAAATACAAATATTAATATATATTTTGAATATATATAGCTTCGCGCGACATACTATTTTTAATAAAAAGATTAAAAAAAAATAATTTACGCGTCGGGGATAAAAAACCGTTTTATAAAACAATAATTATTTCAATTAAATAAAAATTGTAAGAAATAATATTGCAAAAAAACTACAAAAATTATATTAATTTTCACGAATAATGATATCATGCACAACTGATAAATTTATAATTAATAAGCTTTCAAAATTTTTCTAAAAATAAATTTAATTTTTATTTTTTTATTAGCCTAAAAATAATATTAATTTATATTTTCTTATAATTTAAATTTTTGAAATAAAATAAATTTAAATTTGATATTATTAACACCTACTAAAATTTTATTTCTAGCATTTTTAATATTCTCATAGTTCTAGTATCTCTGTTAAGATATTAAGAAAACTTTACTCTTATAGCCCTATAGCTCTCACAATTTCCTACTTACAGTCTAATCTAATTCAGTAGGAAACTGAGATTTGGAAACTGTGATTAATCGCGTAATCTATATGTATAGTAGTTTCTAAACGTGTACGTTAATAGAATGCAATAATAGTATTTTGTGTCATTACATGTAGGTAAAATATAAAATACGCCTTCCAAATATGTTTTCAAATATATAAAAAAAATTTAACATATTTTTTACATATAATATATTACTTTTCTAGTCAGTATTGAACATATTTTTTATCATTTTTATGATTATATTTCCCCATATGTTTAGCTACTTCAATTTCCATTAGACATCGCGAAATGTGTTTAAAGTTGCAATGCCATATTATTTGGATATATATGGAAGTTCGGAAATAATTGAGAATTCTGACTTTATCTTCAATGCTTCTAGAGTTTTTGATAATTTAAACAAAAATTTTGGCGATTAATTTTTATGTAATAATAAGTAAAAAAATGAGACATACCGTCACTGCGAGGTCCTATTAAGTAGAGAAGCCATAGCATAAAGCGGGCAATATTATCAAGTGAAATCTGGTGTCGCAATTATAAAATTTATTTTGGAATTTGAAAGTGTACAAAAAGAAATATAATATATGTTTAAATAGTTAAAAATTTTTTTATATAATAATAAGTAAAAAAAATGAGACACACATATCGTCATTACAGAACTTATTAAGTAGAGAAACCATAGAATAAAGCGGACAATATCACCAAATATGAAATCTGATATTATATATGTTTAAATATTTATGTTCTTATAATATGTGTATTATAAATTTTAATATAAAAATTAACAAATGACACATATCGCCATTGCTGGACTTGTTAAGTAGGGAAACCATAGCATAAAGCAGACAGTATCACTAACAATAAGTATAAACCTGCTGTTGCAATTGTAAAATTTATTTTGGAATTTGAAAGTATAAAGAAATATATATTTAAATTGTTATAAATTTTTATGTAATAATAAATAAAAAAATGAGACACACACACACATATCGTCATTGCAGAACATGTTAAGTAGAGAAACCATACAATAAAGCGGACAGTATCACCAAATATGAAATTTGATATTATATATGTTTAAATATTTATGTTCTTATAATATGTGTATTATAAATTTTAATATAAAAATAAAAAAATGACACATACCGCCATTGATGGATTTGTTAAGTAGGGAAACCATAGCATAAAGCAGACAGTATTACTAACAATAAGTAGAAACCTGCTGTCGCAATTGTAAAATTTATTTTGGAATTTGAAAGTATAAAGAAATATATATTTAAATTGTTATAAATTTTTATGTAATAATAAATAAAAAAATGAGACACACACACACACACATATTGTCATTGCAGAACTTGTTAAGTAGAGAAACCATACAATAAAGCGGACAGTATCACCAAATATAAAATCTGATATTATATATGTTTAAATATTTATGTTTTTATAATATGTGTGTTATAAATTTTAATATAAAAATAAAAAAATGAGACACATATCGTCATTGCAGAACTTGTTAAGTAGAAAAACCATACAATAAAGCGGACAGTATTACCAAATATGAAATCTGATATTATATATGTTTAAATATTTATGTTTTTATAATATGTGTGTTATAAATTTTAATATAAAAATAAAAAAATTACACATACCGCTATTGCAGGACTTGTTAAGTAGGGAAACTATAACATAAAGCGGACAGTATTACCAAGTATGAAACCTGCTGTCGCAATTATAAAATTTATTTATTAAAAATCATCAAATGTAAAATATCTTATATCTATTATATTTAGGTTTTAAATTCTTTTTAGAAATCATCATGTATCAAAATATACGCAACGTGAAGCAGAAATTATCATCTATGGATCGAAGGTGAACAACATGGCGAATCAAACAGCTGATTACCATGGGGGTATTTACCAATGGAATCGCACGATGTCGGCGGAGGAAGGAGATGTGGAAACGGAATATTATCTACCAAATTGGACTGATCTTGTTCTAGCAGGATTATTCACGTTGCTGATTATTGTTACCACAGTAAGTATCTAATATTCTATTAATTTTTATGAGTTTTCTGATTATTTTTATCTCAAGATATTAATGGCAATATTGTTGATTAAAATTTTTAATTATATGTAAAATATAAAATATCTCGATATCGAGTATAGTTCTTAGAATTTGTTACAGACCAGTTTAAAAATTGATAAGTTTTTGGAATATATATATATATATATATATATATATATATATATATAAATTGCGAGTAATTTAAAAATGTTTAGTCTACGCTTGTACAAGTTTGTAATAACCCTGACTTTTCCTTTATTTATAGGTCGGCAATACTTTAGTGATCGCGGCTGTAATCACCACCAGGCGATTACGCTCCGTAACTAATTGTTTTGTGTCTAGCTTGGCGGCGGCGGATTTATTAGTTGGTCTAGCTGTGATGCCACCGGCGGTTCTGTTACAAGTATGTACGCGTTTGTTATTCAAAGTTTAAAATAGAATAAACGTTTACGAGAAGTTTAATTCATCTTTTGTGCTAAGCTACTAACTTTCATCGAGCCGTCATTATAAGAGTCGTATTTAATAAACCGTGATTGATATAGGTACATTATTTATTTACGGTAAACAAATTGCTTTGTCATTCATATTATTGTAACTATATTTAAAGCAGCATTTAATTATTATCGGCATTTAATAACCTCGCGGGCGGACACGTACAGTGTCATCAGCTATCACTTTTCCTCGACATTATCGCTATGCAATAGAGAGCAGAGATATCGATCGTTTTATGCAAATCTTTCTTACCTTGGGAAAAAGTAATTACGCTTTTATCAAATAGAATATATTTTTTGATGAAGCTTACAGGAGGTACTTGGGAATTGGGCGAGATACTATGTGACTCTTGGGTCTCTCTTGACATTCTACTCTGCACGGCCAGTATTCTCTCGTTGTGTGCCATATCTATAGACAGGTAAACTCGATAGTACCCATTTCCAAAACTTGTCACGTAGAAAGCGATATTATCGGGGAACATTCTGTTAGTTGCTTTATCTCTCACGAATAGATTTTCACGTCATTAGAAAAGGAAATCACACATGTCGTAAATTCTCCAATGTCTGCACTTTACGAGTTTCCGCGTGAAAAAACGATAACAGAAACGGGTGAATTTTCTGGTTGGTAGAAAATTTGTTCAAGCAATAAAATATTTTATTATGTTAGTTTATCGTTACAACCAAACAACAAATCAATATTGCTCGCTGAGAAGCGATTGTTCTTTTATATTTATCTTATTGTCATCTTCTTTTTCCAATTACATTTTCTTTAGATGTTTTCTTTAGATATTTTCTTCTTTGATATATGTAAATATTTAAAATATATTATGTACACACATGTCCATACAATTATATATTATTTATCTCTTATATATATATATATATATATATATATATATATATCATATTACAAAGTAATCACAAATAGATTTATAATATAGAAACTTATATTTAAATAAAAATTTTAAAACATTTACCTAGCAATCGAAATTTTTTCTCGTTTTTCTGCAGTCTTTATTTAATTTGAATTACTTCTTGTATTATATTATGTATAAAATTAGATGATTCTACTATAACTTTGCATTTTATCCTATTAGTTACAGATCTGAGTAAATTTGTTCGAAAAGTTAAAATTATTATTACGCAATTGTATTTTAGAAATACAATTTTGGTATGTTTCTCTTTCTGTAATATAATGTAATTTTGGAAACACGATAAGAAATGCTCTAAAAATTCTAGGACCATAGAATGATTTATTCAGCATGTGACTGACCCTCTAGCTCCTTAAGCATGTCTCTTAGTATATGCGATATTTATGTAAATTTTGGAAATTTTTGTAAATTTGGTCGTTCAGCTTAGATATCTAAAATTATGCGGAATTCATCATCGGTGTTTTTTGTTAAAGGTATCTGGCCGTAACTCAGCCGTTGATATACAGTCGTAGACGCAGGAGCAAAAGATTGGCCGGGGTGATGATTGTGGCGGTATGGATAATGGCTGGTGCTATAACAAGTCCACCTTTATTAGGTTGTTTTCCTCGTGCGACGAACCGTGATGTCAAAAAGTGCTCCTACAACATGGACTCCTCGTACGTGATATTTTCGGCGATGGGTAGTTTCTTCCTACCCATGTTGGTAATGCTGTACGTGTACGGCAGAATTTCGTGCGTCATAGCGAGCAGGCACAGAAATCTGGAGACGACCAACGAGGTGGAGAATGTCCGATCGCGTCGTAAAATCACGGTGAGAACTATTTGATTTAGTCTTCCCTAGAGACGCAATAGAAGATCATTAGTGTACTTCCAGCGCTATTTCTTGTTATACATCCTGTTATATACGACAATTTTTATTAGATATTTACTTTACATTACATATATTTACTATATAATTCGATAGAATTTGATAATGTGGCTGGCATCGTGTATTTATTATCTGAGTGTACAAGCTTTTCCCTACTTAAAATAATAACATTTATCTGGAAAATAATATTTTACGCGAAAGATCGTGATATGATGATTATATTTATCTTGTGTTCTTCTCACGCTCTACAATTTCGTAAATAATAGCGTTATTATTTATTTAAATAAATTTAAATAAGTTTGATTATGTTTTATTAAAAAAATTTTTATAACAAATATTTGATATAATATTGATAAAATTAGATTAAATTTTCCAGTGTTTAACCTGCCTATATTAATCTTCCTAGTATTATGCTGCTCTCTCTCATTTGTTCGATGGATGATATTGTAAGCTAATTTTGGCAGCAAGATATTAATCACTCGTTACTGAGATTACATTCGATCAATATCTGGATTTATTGTTATATGTCATTAACAAATAAATGAATATAATAAAGCATTAAAAACAATAAACATTTAAATATTAGAATGATAAAAATAAATATTGAAAGATAAAAATAAATATTAGAAAGATATAAAATAATATTTAAAAAGATTATATATTTATTAAATGTCTATAAAAAATGCATGATACAAAAATTTGTATGCATGATCAATTTATATATTTTATGTATAATTAAAATAAAATTCTTAATTTCTTGAAGAAAAATTCTCTTGATTATTCAAAATATTATTTTGTTGAGTTAAACATTTTTTTCACGATGTTCAGTTTACAAACAAAATATAATACAATTTTACATTCTTATAATTAAATTTTAAAAATGATACGCAGTGTTCAGAGAAATAGAATACAGAAAAAGCAATTAGGAAGACTAAAATATTCGCAATAACAACGTAGCAACAGAGAATTAAATATGAATATGATAATGACAAGTTTATTGAGTTATGAGTGTGTTCCAAATTCAAAACTCGTTTTCAATCTGGGAAAATTCATCGCAGAAATTAAGAATTAGCCTATTTTTAACACAAATGATATTATGATTTCACTACAGCATCGCGACGGAAGGTAATGAAATCGTTCTCACAATTTTATTGAAAAAAGAGATTAGAGAAATCAACTGCTCTCTCTCTCTCTCTCTCTCTTTTTCGCTCTCATGCGAGCGTAGAATGAAGTATATTTTAACATCGTAATGCGAGACGCGGATTTCACACATTATTCGATTTTATGTAATCAATGTGTTATAAATTATTTATACAATATATCTTATCTTGGTTTCTTTGTCGAACTTGATTAGTTACATAACAATATGCGTGAAATTTCTTTACACATAAGTTTTATAGAGAAAACACAAAAAAAATATATTAAAAATCATACATACATATTATCAACATAACGATAATATTTTTATCATTTTTATATCTATTGTTGTTATGTCTTTTTATATATTTTTATGTCTAAAGTATATGATTAAATGTATATATATTGCATATATATATATATATATATATATATATATATATACACATACGTATATATACGACTGTATATATTTGTAGTGTATCACAGATTTATACTGAATGTATGTTATACTGTGATACTGAATAAAAATAGTTTAAAAAATAATTTTCCTCGGATTACAAAGTAAACGAAAATAAATGGCACTCTAAGTGATTTATTGTAGTAATGGAATAAGAAAAATATCTCTAATAAATTGAAAGAAACATTTATTGCAATAAAAAAAATCTTAATTAACAAATTTTTTTTATGATAAGAATGTTAATCTTAAAAAATAAGGTTGAGAAAGTGACAGTAATAATTTTAGTTATTATAAAAAATCATAGCCGAATACAATTGAATTAGCAGTAGAATACTTGACTTGAACATAGCAGAATACTTGACAGCTTAATAGAAAATTTTAGTTATAATGAAAAAAGAATTTTTATACAATAATTACAAAATATTGATATCAATATTAATGTAATTTATTTAAATTTAATATTGAACAAAAAGCATACATATTATATTATGTACGTTAAATATTTAAATACCGGTAAATTTTCAAATATTGTTCTACTATTTTATTCAAGTAGTTATTGGAATAATTACTGATGGTTATATTATATCATAAAAATTATTTTTTACGCGTACAAAATCGCTTGCTACAAATTTAAAAAAATCCTATAGTTTAAAAAAATAATTAAATAGATATTATTGATAATATATTTGCAATAAATATTAAATTTATTAATATGAAAAATGTATTTTTATTATATCTATTTATATAGCATGACATTTTAAAATCGAGATACTACTTTTATATATATTATTATTTTATTAATTAGCAGTAAAAATGTAATTAATAAAGAAAAAAATATATTTTTTATTGTAAAGCACTTTATATTCAAAATTGATATTGATTATTATATTGATAATGCTGTGTATATTAATTGTAAATATATCTCTGTGTATATTTTCAATATCAATGTTATTCATAGTAAAAGCTTTCATAAACTGTAAGATTAAATAATCTTATTTTATTTTCGTATGTGATATCTTTGTAAAATCAAGAAATTAAAATTAATTAATGAAAGGCTCGTATAATTAAACAAAATTAAACAATCATATATAGTAGGCCAACTAAACGAGCAAATAAATAAGATGTAAAATTTTTTTATTAATAGTTAAATCATTAAATTAACATTCCGTTACAGAATCGATATAAATTGTAAACGTTTCGACTGCACTACAGTCTTTATCAATACATAAAAATTAAATATTAAAATATAAAGTTAGATGTTAAAAATACAAAGTTAGTTAAATATTAAAATATAAAATTGAAACGATTCTTCGCTGTTGACCAATAGATATGCAAGGCGATTGGTCTGAGATGCCAAGTTATGCGACATTTGAGCATGCTACGGATATAATACGCGAATTAAATCAATGTCAGAAAATATTAAAAAATCTTTCAACTTACATTATCGTTTTAACAAGTCCTTTTCCCCGATATTTCAAGTGTGTGTTGCGAAGTCTGAATACCAAATGTCAAAATAGAGAGCGTGATGTATTTATTTATTACAATGTTTTTTCTAAATTATGATTCAGCAAAATTTTTAAGTATGTCAAAATAACTACTGTCTAACAATTCGGTGTCTGTATTTAAATTAATTCCATTTTTCTGTTCTTTAATGTGGATCATTTCAGATATTAGTCTTTTATGGTAATTCTTTTCATGATCCATAATTTTAATATTGTCCCAGTCAAATGTATGTTGTTCGTTTAGAATGTGTTCCGTGATAACCGAATGTCTAGCAGAGTCTAATTTAATATTATTTTTATGTTCTTTAAGTCTCGTTCCTAACTGTCTTTTTGTCTGTCCGACATATGTGGTCGTCACAATCGTTGCAATTCAATTTGTAAATAACGTTAGAATTCGTGGGGGCAATTATTTTTGTCCTTTTGAACTCTTATGAAGTCATTAATTTTTAATGCAACGATATATCCTACCACTACGTCAGGTCTTCTTATTGCTGAAGCAACTTTCTCAGATATTGATTCTATATATGGTATGACAAAATATTTAATGTTAGTATTAGTATTATTAGTATCTGTTATATTGTTATTATTAGGCTTGTTAAATTTCTTAGTTGAGAGATTTTTTAATCTGCGTTTTATTTCTGTGAAAATTAGATCAAGAGGATAACCGTTGGATAGCAAATGTTAATAGCTTTCTCTATATTTTTTTGTGAAATTGCGGATGTGATAGTAATAAAGCTCTATCTACCAAGTTATAAATTGTTCCTATTTTATGACAAGTCGGATGATTTGAAAAAAATGAAAGTAATCTACCTGAGAATGTCTTTTTGTGATACCAATCTAAATAAATTTTGTTATCTATTACTTTGATCATTATGTCTAAAAAGCTTATACAACGATTATCCTCCTTTTCCAATGTAAATTGTAGTCTATCGTTATAATTGTTGAATTCGTTCAAAACATATGTAATGTGTCAGCGGAAGTGCATAAAATAATGTCGTCTACATAACGGAAATAGAAAGTCATTTCGCAATTTAAATTACTATTACTAATGTTTCCAAGTCCTGCATGACTATATCGGCAATGATCGGAGAAAGTGGGGAACCCATAGGAGTCCCATAAATTTGTTTGTAAGTTATGTTATTAAAAGTGAAAAATGTAGAAGTTAATATAAATTTTATCATACCTATGAATTCATTTTTGGGAATCTTTGTGTGTGACTCTATAAAATGCCATCTATTATTGATACCGTTTAATGCAAGATCTACGGAAACATTAGTAAATAATGAAACAACGTCCAATGAAGCTATTATGTCGGTATCTTGTATTATTTTCCCTGATAGAATGTTGCATATATCAAACTGTTATTTACAAAACTGTCCGCTCTAGGAAGGCTATCTTTTAAAATTTATGAAAGAAAGAAGCAATATTATATAGAGAAGTATTTATTGAGGAAACTATTAATCTAAAAGGAATATTTTCCTTGTGGATCTTGGGGAGCCCATAAGCTTAGGAAGAAGAGAGTCGCTTGAAAATAAATAATAATATTCTTTTTTGTTGATGAAGTCTTTTTTCAACCATTTTTTTAAACAAATATTGAGGTCTTTTTCTATTTTTGTTGATGGATTGTTTTAACTATGGTATACGTAGAATCGTCTTCTAGGAGACTCTCAACTTTTTTTATATAAAAATTCTTTTTCTAGTGCGACTGTAATGCTGCCTTTATCTGCTCTGGTAAATAAAATATTAGGATTTTGATTGCAGAATTTAATTGTGTCTTTATGCATGTGAAATAATTTTTCTTGTATGTCCGTTTTTTTGTCGTTATTGTTTAAAAATAATGAAAATTGTGGAATGGCAGCATTACGAATCGAAGTGAGATTTCTGATCCCGTTAGAATTGCTTTTCTATCTTTGATGAATTCGTGTATAGCTACTTTTTATTTAAGTTAACTGGGAGACTAAATTCACCTCCCAATTGTAATAGATTGGTTACATTGGGAGGGATTTTTTATCAGTTAAATTAATAACACATTTAT